AGGAGGAGTGAGTTACAAACGGCAAGACAAAACTTTGGGGAGTAATGGATGTGTTCATTATCTTGACTGTGGTGATGGTTTTGTGGATATATACATATGCCAAAACTCTTCAAATTGTGTACTTTAAATATGTGCAGTAATTATATATCACTTATACCTCAATAAAGTTGTAAAAGGTTACTCACGTGCTTAAGATACATGTCTAATCTAATTTTTGTCAATAAAGTGTCAGTTTGAGCCAATAAGAGAATTGCTACATTGTGAAGGTTTTCTGACAATGTCTATTACAATTTTAAAGAATGTTCTTTGATCTAGCAATTCAGTTTTTGGAAATCTTTTATAAAGAAATAAAAACATCAGTGCATGAGTTTACGGTATAAGGACGTTTATTGCAGCATCCTCTGAAGAGCTGGAAAAATGGAAACAATATGAATTATGAATGTCCATCAATAAGGAAATTATGATATCTTCAATTAGGAGCTGTCAGGTAGCTTTTTAAAGATTTGTATCTGTTTACTTAAAGTAAATACCATGAGATATTCTTAAATAAGAAAGGCAAGTTGCAGAGTAAAGTGTACACACAAGCCCCATCTACATTTGTATGTGCGTTTGGATATGTTTGAACGGACAGGGAGAATGGAGTCAATGCTGGATGCTGAGAGGGCTGGTTTGGGGATAACGATGTGAGAGTGGAAGATGGTTAACTTTTAAAAATATATATATATTTCCCTTTGCCCTCCTCATTTTCTCTTTTATATGGTGAGCATATGCTACTTAATAATTTTTGAAGAGGAATTTTGAAGAAAACATTTTGTCAATTAACAGATATAAGATAGTAAGTCCCCCTTTATCTCAAAATAGAAACAAAAACAACAAAATAAAATCTTTTCACAGACTTAAAAAACAGTGAAGTAAAAACCAGGGGTTTTGGGGTCATACAGGATTTGCTCAAGTTCAGGTTCCAGTGTTAGTGATCTGGGTGATTTTGGGGTGGGTTCCCAAAACTTCCAGGTTCTCAGCTGCCTTATTTCAAAAGGGAATAATAATATCTAATTCTTGTTCTTGGTGTGAGGATTAAATGAGGTAACATTAATGAAGGACCAAGCATGTGAAGCATCTCAATGATATCTACTCTTTAACCATCTTAGCAGCTTTTTAGGGAAGTGTCTCAATGATATCTGTTCTTTAAGTAGCTTTTTAAAAAAAATTATAACCATGTTTTATTGATAGTCATCAATTGAGTTATATATTAACATACAATTATCAACTTTATCATATTGAAATATAAAATTTTCCCTTTGCTTAACTCTATTTTCTTTCTTACTTTGAGTTAGTAGAAAAAAGTCTCCCAATTACTTGTAAGTCATCCAAGTCGTGCTCCTACCAGAAGTTAAAACTCTCTCGTATACAAAAACAAAAAAAATAAGGGTTCAACTTATTTCCAAAAGCCATAGTCCTGATTCAAAATGGCATCACAGTTTTTCAATGCAGTTTTTTAAACTATCATAGAGCCTTAATTGTAAGCTTTATTTTCTACAGAAAAACTATAAAAGAGATCTGGAGACTGAAACTAAATGAAATGGCATGCAGGTGAGCACAGACACTCCAAATCCAGAGAGCTAAGAAAGCATCCAAAATGGTCAGTCACGTAAGTTAGGTAGCTTTTGAAGGGCCATCCTTGAAAGCCAAGCATAGTCATAGTCTGTGCTTTGGTTTAAGCTATCCTTGTGGTTGAATTGCCCTTCCCCTCCTTCTTCATGTCTCCAAATTCTTTCTCATCTATCAAGACGTGGCCCAAATATTGTTACTTCCAAAAGTCTTCCCAGATCTCCCAAAGGAGCATTAACGACTCTTTGTTCTAGTTCCCATGATACTATGTCTATGCCTCTGTTACATGGTATGGTGCTGAGTGTGGTTCGTTAATTATGTGCTCATATCTCCTGCATCAAGATTATGAGCTACTTGAATGGAAGAATCATGGGATGTTCAACTTTGTATCCTTATTATCTTGTCCTAAAGTAGAAGTCCTATGATTTCAATTTCTTTGCTTAATACAGAACACAGCAAATATTTATTGATAAGTTACTCTGCTAGACACTGTTCCAATTGCTCACTTTTGTGCCAGGAACATTGAACCAAAGAGCCTCATGGAGCTTATATTGTATTGGGTGTAGGCAGAAAAAGGAACAAAGTAAATAAAGTTGTAACACTGTGTTAAAAGATGAGTGTTATTAAGAAAATATTTAGCAGCCAGAGGAGGTGAGAAATGGTGGGCCAGAGGGTGCAATGTTAAGTAGAGAGCTTAACGAAAGTCTCAACGAGAAGGTGATCTCTGAAAAAACTTAAAGAAATGAAGCAAGCCACGTGGCTGTTGTTGGGGAGGGGTGTGGCAGGCAGAAGGAAGAGTAAATGCAGGCTCTGAGGAAAGAACATGCTGGAGTGTTTAAAGAAGAGCAAGAATCCCAAATGTCTGGAGTGGAGGGAGCAAAGGAATGAGTAGTAGAAGAGGTGAGAGGCAGGTGGCTTAGGTAGGATCATAGCCACTATTGTAAGGAAATTAAAAAATAGAGCTTTTGCTCAGAATGAGACGGGAAGGAGCAGAAGGAATTGATACGATTTGAATTATATTTTAAAGGAAGGGCTTTTTCTGCTCAGCATTTCTGTAAAATGCAAGATGTAAATTCCCTCAATTACTGCTCTCCTGGTAAAAACTTTGGGATTGAGGACAGAGTAGTGATGCTGTGGGTTGTGTCCTCAAAAGTCACAGGGGAGCGCTGTGTTGGAGGTTAGACAAACCTGGTTGGAGTTCTCACTCAGCCTCCACCAGCTCTGCTATTTTAGGCATGACGTTGATTAGCCTCCCTGAGCATCAGTTTCCTCACCTGTCACGCGAAGAAAATAATGCTTGACCAGCTTACTCCAATGGTGTTGCGATTATGAGGTTACAGTGGGATAATAGTGTGAAAGGATCCTAAAGGAAAAACACTATGCAAATGCAAGAGATTCCTGATCTTCACAAACAGGTGTTCCTGCTGCCTGCAGAGAGGAGTCTTGATGGAGGGTAGGAGGAGAAGGTAACAAAAGGTAGGAAGAGGAAATGCGAGTTGTAAATCAATTGGGAAATCTTCAAAATCTCCCTAGATTGCTGGAGATCTTGGCCAGCTACTTAGAAGTGAACCAAATACAGCATGGATTTGGCACTTTTTTTTCTTTAACCAACTTGTAAGAGTGATTTCAAATTGTACAACAAACAGTTGAAGATAAAGACAGAGAAGCTCGGATAGGGCATGTTTCTCACAGAGAGGTACTATGCTGATTAATTTAGTTATAGTAAATGTATTTCCAGTCTCAAATGAGGCACTTAGAATTCATAAACAGATTTTGGGTCACATTTGTTAGGGAGAAGCAGTCTGTACATCAGATGGTGAACGCAATAGAAATCTTAGGCAATTTGGTTAAGAGAATGTGATATTTGAAATCAGCGCAGTCTCAAAACAATCAACAAAGTGAAAGGCAACCAATGAAATGGGAGAAAATATTTGCAAATCATATATCTGATAAGGGGTTAATTTCCAAAATATATAAGGAACTCATACAGCTCAATAGCAAAAAAACAAATAATCTGATTAAAAAAATGGGAAAATGACTTGAATAAACATTTTTCCAAAGAAGATATACAGATGGCCAAGAGGTATATGAAAAGGTGCTCAACATCACTAATTATCAGGGAAATACAAATCAAAACCACAATAAGATATCACTTCACATCTGTTAGATGGCTAATATCAAGAGACAAGAGAACAAAGGCTGGCAAGGATGTGGAGAAAAGGAAACCCTTGTGCACTGCTGGTGGGAATGTCAATGGGTACAGCCATTATGGAAAACAGTATGGAAGTTCCTCAAAAAATTAAAAATGGAACTGCCATATGATTCAACAATCCCACTTCTGGGTATATATTTGAAGGAAATGAAATCACTATCTTGAAGAGAGTTCTGTACCCTCATCTTCATTGTAGCATTATTTGCAATAGCCACAACAGGGAAATAACCTAGGTGTCCATCTATGGATGAATGGATAATGAAGATGTGGTGTACATATGTATATATAATGGAATATTATTCAACTTTTCAAAAGGAGGAAATCCTGCCATTTGTAACAATATGAATTAATCTAAGTTAGACAGAGAAATACAAATATTATATGATCTCATTTATATGTGGAGTCTGAAAGAAATGGAACTTATAGAAAGAGAGAGTAGAATGGAGGTTGCCAGGGGCAGAGGGAGTGGTGGGAGAAAAGGGTGAAGGTGCTCAAAGGTTACAAACTTCCAGTTATAAAATCAATTAAGTCCTGGACAGGGGGTGGGGTGGCTGGCCCGGTGACATAGTGGTTAAGTGTGCGTGCTCCGCTTCAGTGGCTGCCCGGGGTTCACAGGTTCGGATCCGGGTCGCAGATCTAGCATGGTTCATCAAGCCACACTGTGGCAGCATCCCACATAAAATAGATGAAGATTGGCACAGATGTTAGCTCAGTGACAATCTTCCTCACAACAACAACAACGATCCAATAAGTCCTGGGGATCTAATGTACAGTGGTGACTATAATTAATAATACTGTATTGTACGCCTGAAAATTACTAAGAGAGTAGATCTTAAAAGTTCTCAGTACAGAATAATGGCAACTATGTGAGGTGATGGATGTGTTAGCTAATCTTACATGGTAATCATTTCACAATATACATAGATATTAAATCATCACATTGTACACCTTAAACTTACACAATTTTATATGTCAATTTTATCTCAATGAAGCTGGAAAAAAGAGAAATTGGCACAGGCTCTGGAAAATACAGAAGGTGGGTTGTCTGATATTACTGTGGAAAGTAATATGAATTTTTCAGTGTTTAGTAGGTGTTCACTCTTTGTTTAGCCACCTATATTATCACAGGTTCTTTGTGTTGCATGCAGACTTATTCTGGCTAAGTAAAAATAGGAAGACAGACAAACAAAGTATTTATTAAAAATACACTGGAGTTGCCTTCAGAGTCGAGCGCTTTAGAAGGAAAGGACCCAGGAGAGTTCTAGAGAACTCAGTAGCAGAAGCACATAGATCTTTTATTTTAGACTAGAGCTCTGCCATAATTGCATGGGGTTCTTTGAGTTCAGTCTTGCCTTACTGTTCGCATTAGATAATTCTGGGAGGATCTTTCTGTCTCAGTTGGGTCAGGTTTTGCAATGGTTCAATCCTCCATGACTAAGTAGGCATGGACCACAGCAATGGCCACCGAGGTCCCAATTCTATGTAATGAGGTGGTAGAATGAACACATGAAAGGCTGCACTAGACTCTTCAAAGACCCTTCCATCCCTGACACACTGCTGTTCTAGGAGAAGAATAAAGATTCTGTAGAACAGCAATAACCTTGTTAATTTAAAAAATGGTCAGTTTTTAGTTTACTAGCCCATGAGAGTGGGCTCATATATTTTTGAAAGACTATCCAAAAAGGATGAATAAATTTCAACTCTGAAACTTCCTACATTTTTAGGGCTTAAGAGCTTGTTCTTTCACATTCCCTTCCTGTCTTTTACTGATTCTGTGATTTAGGACTTGTTACTTTATCTAGGCTTTGGTTTCCTTATTTTGAGCCACTCCTTGATTATTCTGGTTAATAACAATTTTTATATATTTTATATATTTTTTCATTATTAAATACTTTAAACATGCTTAGGAAAAACCGCTACCACCAACACAAATCTTCTCAATAAACTAGGATATGTGACGCCAAAAAGGACACTTTTATTCTGACTTCTGGAAGAAGAAATGCAGTCAGGGTATTCAAAAGAAGTTGTGTTTGATTGAAGCCAGGGCCTGAATCCTGAGAACTTGCTGAGAGTTGCTTTGAGGCCTCTGTCCTGGAGGATTTGTGAAGCAGAAGAACTGGAAAAGCAAGATTTGGCTGCCCTTGCATTATTCTGGAGCCATGTAGGTGTGTCCTTAGAAACACAAGCCAGAGAGAGGGAAACAATTACCAGCTAGAGCAGGCTTAAGACTTAAGAAAAATAGAGAGAGTTTTAATCTATTCTTTAACACTTTTATGACCCTGCACTTTAAAATGTGAGATGATTTATTATAAAATCAACTATGATACATGTTTGAGGAAATAACAACAACAAAAGTGAAAATACAAGATATATAAGGCAAGAATCAGCAACAAGGATGATGGGAGAATGCACATAGGTTAAACATAGGGATAAATAGAGTCATCCATTTCACTTTGAGTTTTCGGATAGACAGGAAAGAAAATAAAATAGACCAAATCACGTAAGTTTTATAACCAGAAAAGAGGGAGCAGTCTCTGGGGAAGACACACTTTTTCTTACTCTAAATTCTAAAAGAAAGTTTTCCCATAAGACTTCATGGAGTAGATATTGAGTGATGTCGTGTCCAGCTGCAGTTTTGTTCATTGCCTACATGAGGATTTCCTATTAAATTTATTTATTCCTAAATTCCTTCCTAGGAAGGTCTGACTCAGCAAGTCTAAAATATGTGATGTAGTATGTCCATAGTATATTTTTTCTTAATTCAAAAAATACGTATAGAAATTAAGAATTCATAAAGCTCTTTCCCATCTTTTACTTCTTTGATAATCTTAAAAGTCCTGTGAGATTCATCAGATTATTTTTTTAACACAAGAAAGGAAATTTATACTTTAGGATGTCATATGACTTAAGACTCAGAGGGACTTGTATCCCCATGATTTCAAGAGACACAGGACAGTAGGAGTTAAGGTTGTAAGTCTATTAACTTGAGGAAATCATGCCAATGTCATTGAGCTGAGGTTGGGAAGGTCTCAGATTGATTAGGTGTCCAATTATGGGATGATTTGGTTTTGAGACCTTGCCCCTCTCTGCTCATCATCTGAAACTGCATGCAGAAGTTCACCTTCTTCGTAAAGCCCTCCTAATGACCACTCCTTCCTCCAGGTGTCCCCACTTATCGTCTTTCTCCAAGGCCCTTTTCACATAACTTTATTGTTTCCTTCCACAGTCCTGGGGTGCACTGCATTAAGTGATAGCCTAGACTATAAACTTCTCAATGGCTGGACCATGTTATTTATCTTGGTAGCACTGGCAGAACCTGACACATAGTAGGCATGGATTAAATAAGCATTGAAGGAATATATAAGAAAGGGGCAAATGTTGTAGGAGAAAGATGGGATATCTATCTATCTATCTATCTATCTATCTATCTTAATTTAGGAAATACAGTACCTTGAACTTTGGCCAAATTTTCTACATTGAAGAAATAGGCATTGCTGTGAATCACTTAATTCTAAAATGATGACTTGCTTTTGATCAGAGGAGGCAATTATCAAACTAATGCAACTTTTAAAGCTACTTATTAAATACAGAGTCACTGGGATTTAAAGAGATACTCCTGATAAAACCATCCAAAATTTAATCTTTGATTTAAAGGCTTCCTTTTCTCTAATTTTTTTATATGCATAGATTGTGCCATTTCTTCTTGCCCCTTAGGGCATCTACAATTGGTTCACGAATGTACTCAAAGATTTTTTTATATGCAATTAAAAAACATCCCCGCATTAAGATCTGGAACAATTAATTCCAAACATTTTAAATATTATTAACAAGGAGTAAAGTGAGACTCAAGGAGGCCAAGTGACTTCCCCATGGTCACATAACCAATAGGTGGCCAAGTTTGAAGTTGAATTTAATCTTCTCTATGACGTTTGCTCTTTCTACTTCTTCATGTTGCCTTATCTGTTGGACTGTCTCATACATTGAACCTCTAGGATGATACTCCCAGGATTCAGAGCATGAGTACGAATGGGTAGAGGTGTGTACCAACAGCCTGAATGAAAGCAAAGGGTTAGGACACCTGCAGCAAGAGATAAGCTGTTCCCTGAGAAGATGGAAATGGAAAAAATGCAAACGTAAGTGAATGCTTTTAGAAGCTTAGCTGGCTTTAGGGTGAAAGTCAGGAGTGCCTGGGTTAGGCATGTCTTGATTCCAACACCCAAGCCTGATTTACTCCCTTAGAAATTTATGAAAGAAGGTGGGCTAAGTTCTAGGGTATGACAGTAACTTTCTGAGCTTACGCTAGTCACGCTCAAGTTATAAAATGAAAATCATAGAGAAAAGGAGCATTCCTAGACCAGATACGAAAGAGAAATTGGGAGATGCTGTGCTTCCTGGAGTATGAGGTAACTCGGTTAACCAAAGGGATCGTGTTTTATTTCTGTGGGCACCTCCAGGCAGGTCTAAGATCAATAGCTTTATCACTGTCTCCTACTGCCTCCTCCTGTGCTTTGCTCCTCTGTCTTCCAGTAGCACCTTCACTTAGGGATAGAGCACAGACTCTGGCCTCAGGCTGCTTGAGTTCAAATCCTGCCCTCCTCCCTTATTAACTTGGCCATGTTAATGAATCTCCCTAAGCCTTGGTTACCTTACTTAAACAATTTAAGAAGAGGAATGATACCTATTTTTCATGGGGAAATGTTAAAATTAAATTAGGAACTAGGTATGTAGCACTTAGCTTAATGCCTAAAACAGTAAGTACTAAGTTCATGCTTGCTACTGATGTAATTATTTTGCCAGCGCTACCATTTCTGTTTCTGTATTTCAATATCTATTCTCAGAAGAGACTTGAGTAAGGAAACAGCAGGTATATCTCAGCACTCAAATCATATTGTTTGCACATAAATCTGACTGTATGGAGTTAGAGAGAACGCTAGTCCTTTCTGCTGGAATTAGGTTCAGCAAATCTCACTCTTCTCACCAGTAACTAATTGCACGTTTACATGGGCCCTTAGATTTGAGTGTCTATGATCCCTTCGTTTCATAGGCCGGACTCACACAAAGCAAGTTCCCAGCAGGGTTGTGACAGGACCAGGTCTCCTAACTTCTAGTGCTTGCTTGTTTCACCCCACAATTGTGCCTCCTCTCTTAAGAGAATCTTATTGTCAGTGACTTTAAGATGATAAAAATATACCTATTTAAAATTAATTTTAAAAACTCCAAGAAGAGCAAGGCGAAAACAAAAAAATATAACTTTTCTGCTTATAGGTAGGCATGGGTGCCCAAATTCATTAAATAAAATCAGATGGATCCTTTTTTCTTTTCCAATATACTATTATTTTAGCTGTAAATTATAAGTTAAAAATCACCTTGGGAGGTCACTTTGATGAATGTTCTCCTCGTTTATCATCAAATTCCGTAAATCCTCTTGAAAAGAAAAAACAAAGAGAAAAAAATGAATTATGATTTAGACTGAACAGGAATGTTAGAATGATCATTAAGGTGTCTTATAGTGTTGAGCCACACTTTTCTTCTCCATATTTTCCTATGTTATAAAAAAGTAAAACGTAAGTTTTCCACAATAGTTCATAGTTGAAAAGACATTTATGCATAATTATCTCTTTGAATCTGCCAACAAATCCATTAGTTAAGTGTCTATTCATATATAAACTCTACAAAGACAGATATTTGATTGTATTTGTTCGGTAATATATCCCCAGCACTGAGAACAGTGCCTGGCATAGAGTATGAATTAATTAATATTTGTTGAATGTCTAAATGAATTAATTTTTATGTTTTTTTACATATGAAAAAGCCTCTGAAGCTCAGAGAGATTAAACAAACTGTGCAGGTCACATGGTTGGTAACATGCAAAGCACAGTCCAAAATCTTAGGTCTCCAGAATCATGAATGATGCCAGAAGCATGATACTCTGCTGTTCAAGGATTGGACATGGAGTAGCCTCTGAGAAGGTAAAAGACGACTAAAATTCAATCTGTGAGGAGATTATAGTCTAGCGGAGAAAGCAGATGCATTCCGATAGGAGTAATTTAAAACAACGAGGGGGAAAAGGCTGTAATGAAGGTTCCTACAAAGCATTATGAAATCTCAGAGTATGAATACCTGAATTTCCTAATTGTAGGGATCCGTGATGATGTCTTCACAGGGTTCGTCTTTGAATTGGACTTTAGAAAATGATTGGACTTGCCAGATGAACAGAGAAGAGTTGGGTTTGGGAGTCATGCATTACTGGCAGAGAGAAAAGCATGTACAAAGATGTTGGGGGTTTATACAAACAGGACCTGCTGTGAAGCAGAAATCATTTGTCATCGGGGCGTCAGGTGTCTGGCTTCATGAGTAAGAGGTGTGACTGAAAGATATATTGGCGTCAGGCAAGAACCTTTAACATTAGCTGAATGCACTTACTCTGATTTCGTATGCAAAGGAAATGCCTGAAAGGGTTTCAAGCATGGCAGTGATAGAACCAAACTTGTGTCTTTGTTATATAACTCGGGTAGTAGGTAGAGGATGGATTGGAGTGAGAAGAGACAGAAACAGTGAAAGTAATTATAAATCCAATAAAAAGAGCTCAGGAAAGAGACGATGAAGGACTCAACTAGACCAACAAGTCAGTGGATGGAAAAATAGTAATAGTATAGGAAAAAAATTCAAAGAACAAATATAATGAAAAAATATTCAGCAATTGGATGAAGGTGGTGACGAGCAGGAAGGATCCAAGAAGACCTTGAGATTTCTGGATTCTGGGTGGATGGGGATGTGACTTCCTGAGATAAGGAAGATGGGAGAGGAGCAGGTTTATAAGTGAGATGATGGGCTTGAGTTTAGATGAGTTCAATTTGAGGTATTGATGGAAAACCTAGGTGAGGTCTTGTAGCAGAAAATTAGTCATTTCAGTCTGTAGCTCAGGAAAAAGAGTGCAAAAGATATCTGGATCTGGAACTCATTAGATTATAAGTAATATTCCCAATGTGGAAGCTGTGATGTGAAAAACTAGGCAGGATGCATTTGGAGACTTGAGGAGCAATGATGTTTAAGGGGCAGATGCACGAAGAAAAGTGAAGTCAAAAGAATGAGAAAGAATGGCTAGAGGGAGGGAGAGAACCAGGAAAATGTTGTGTCACAGAAACCCAGGGCTGGGGGGAAATTCATGAGAATTGGAGACTTATCAAAAGGTTCAGAGGAATTTTTTAGAGCACTGGTGACCAGAATGTAGTTCACATTGCTCCAAGGGAATCCAGAAGGCAATTGGAGTGAGCGGGTCTATTCATCGACCTGAAAGCACACATCTAGCATTTATTATACGCCTGACACAGTAATTAGTCATCAGATATATTAGAGAAAATAAAGCAAAATTTCCATCTTTATGAAGTTCCACCATTCCTATCATTCTCTCTTTCTAATCAAGTCTCATTGAGCCCTTTAAGGACCAAATTGAATCTCACGTTTGCCGTAAACACTCTCCTAAGCATCCTGGGTCCAGTGACAGCGCCTTTCTCTAGAAATTACCTGTGATGTTTGTCTGATATTTATCTCATTTAGCACTTTAGTTATCTTTGCAATGGCTCATGTCGTCTTGCCATAAGGACTGCAAATTCTTTGAGAAGGGATTTACAGTCTAGATTTTTCCTTCACAGTTCCTGCTCCTACTTTGCACATACTAAGTGCTTAGGAGTACTTCTTGATCCTCTCCTCCATTTTCCATTCTCCATTATATTTATGATCTTTCTGTAGACAGAGGGAAGACAGCTAGATTTGTTTCCTTGAGCAAGGACTTCTGTGTCTTTCAACAAAGATCCCTCAGTCAAACTGGGGTCGATGGGCTTTAGATCTGATCTCTAAGATATCTTTCCTTAACTAATTAATTCAACAATTATTACTGAGTGCTTGATATGACTTACAAGATACTGTGTTGTAGTAATGAGCTAGATATATCCAGTCCCTACTTTCATATACAGTAATGCGCTGCATAATGACATTTCTGTCAGTGGCAGACTGCATATATGACAGTGGTCCCACAAGATTAATATCATATAGCCTAGGCGTGTAGTAGGTTATGCCATCTAAGTTTGTGTAAGTATGCTCTATGATGTTCACACAACGATGAAATTGCTTAACGATGCATTTCTCAGAACATATCTCCGTGATTAAGTGACGCATGACTGTAGCTACATAATGCAAAGTACATAAATCATTTGAGATGATGATATATGTTATAATGACACTACCACAAAGTAAAGTGGTGGAGAATAACCAGGGAATGAAAGGAGACTTTATTAATGAATGGCTATAGAATCGTTTTCTGAGGAAGTGACTTTTAGATGAGCTGCAGGACAAAGCACTAGCCTTGAGAAAAGGAAAGAACATTTTAAGCAGAAATGAAAACAAGGGCAGAGAGCCTGAGTTGGTTGTAAGTTCCAGGAACAGAAAGAACATCATTTATTCAGAATATAATGAGGGAAAGAGAAAATGGTAGAAGATGAGTTCCCATTTCTGAACCCAGAGCTGACAGCAATACTTTAGTACTACAGATGGTCAACTTTTAGGGTTAACTGAGAAAAAAAGTGCTATTTCATAGTTGGATAATTCCCCAGGGAAGGAATAAAAAGAACTATTATTGTCTCAACCCCTTGCATTGCCGTTGTTGTGATTTATAACAAAATGAATTCAATTGGGGTCTAATATGTACTTTGTACATAATGGGTGTTACTGTTTGCTTGTCAGTTTCTTCCTTGTTTACATTAACAACCATGGGAAAGCAACAGTTGCATAAGCAGTCACGATAGTAAAAATAACATAACAATACAAAAATCAACACCTGTGCATTTCAACAATTTGTGCATGAGGATTGTATGCAGAATCCTGTCCGTCGACATAACATATTGATTTAAGCAGATCAGAGATTATAAGATGGCCCTTAATTGCTTTTATATAAAGTAGTTCTTAATCTGTTCTTAGTCATAGACCCCTTTGAGAATCTAATAAAAGTCAGAAGCACTTTCCATAGAAAAACGTAAAGATTCACATTTACACAAAACATGAATATAAATTTAAAGGCTGTGTGGCCCTTTAAGGCCCAGCGGTGTATCCCAGAGCATCTAATGAATGGCTTTCAAAATTTACTGTATATCAGAATCACCTGAAAGCTTATTAAGAAGCATGTATTTAGCCTTTTCTCAGGAAGGTGCAAGAGGAGGCGAAGAAACATGCGTTTTGTATAAGTTCTCTAGCAGATTCTGAAGCAGGTGGATAATAGACCAAAAACGTGCTCTCTCTATGCAGGAGAGAATTAGAGAGCAGAGGCCCAGAGAGGTGGGGATTGAAAGTACCTGGAAGTTCAGAAGAACCAATTGGATCCTGGAGAGCTGAAATTGGGGAGAGTAATGTGGGGAGAATGAAGAATAGGTTGAAGTAGAAGTAAAAATCAGAGCTATGTAGACTGGAGTAAGATGTATTAGGAGTTGGGCACAGGGGCTTGGAAGCATGTTGAGAACATTGAGAAAATTCTGGGCTATGTGTGATCTGCCACCATGGCAATCCCTCATGATCAGAACAAACACTCCTCGAGAGGTTCCCAGATTGTCTTTGAGGAGAGATTAGCTACGGCCTCTGCTAATCCTCTTGAGTTACTCAAACTAGAAAATAAAGGCAGAATTTATCACATCTATCACCAATGAACACATCTCTACCCCCTACCTTCACCAAAGAATTACAGTGTCTGTACTTGGTGGGTCCTTTATTCCTTTAACTTTATAGAGGACAAAACCGAGATGCTCAGAGAAGGGAGGGTTTGCCCAACATCACCCAGTAGAGTAGCACCTGTGTCAAGACCAGAACCTGGCTTTCCGTCCCCTGGTCTGGTGTTCTTCCTCCTCCCTGCTTGGTCTTGAGATAAAAGTATTTTATGAAACCACTTGATGGAAATGTGCTCACCCCAAGAGTTCAGGGAAATTCATTCAGATGCAGATGTATGTTAAGATAGAGCAAAACTTTTCAAAAAAGTAATACATTGGCATGCACTACAATTTTATTTCTTGTTCATTTTAATGAGATGTGGTCATTACCAACAGGGAACTGGACAAAAGCAAGGTTTGTCCCAGTGCTTACGTGCTTCTGGTCATGGAGCGGAGGATGAACTCCACTGCATTCTCAATGATCTCCGTGCCCAAGAGGTTTAGGAATTTTGGGAACTCTGGTTCTGAAGATTTGCTTGAGTCATCTGGCTTGTCATTTGGTTTGTTGTCTGAAAAATACAACAGAATCTCAGAAGTGATTCTCAGCAATAAGAAAGGGAAGTCTCTTTTCTTTGTAGGAAGCCCTTAGAGTCCTTTATACTGCCACTCACTCATTATGGAGCCTCATATAGTTGCATTTAATGAACATTTAATGCCTGCCTGGTTAAAGTCTTCACATGCATTATTTCATTTATTCCTAAAAACAAACGAACAGATTGAGACTTTGATAGGCATGGTTCCCCTTTCCAGATGAGAAGACCGAAGCTCATGGAGTTCAAGTCACTCGCCCAGAGTTAAGCAGCTAGTAAATGCCAGTGCCGGGATTGAAACACAGAATGCCTGATGTTATGTCTCTTTCTCCATGCAATCCCTGGGCCGGTGGTAATGATAATAATGAGGATGAAATAATAATGGTTAACATTTGATGGGCATATACCTAAGACAGGCAATCTCATGCATTGTCTCATTTTATTCTCACAGCAACCCTATGCAGCAGGCAAAATTATTATCCAACTTAAAGGTAAAGAAAAAGAATTTGAGAGAGGTTTAGGAGCTGGTTCAAAATCACAGAGTTAGTAAGTGACAGAAACAGAATTAAATCCTATGTCTGGTATTCAACCCTGGATTCTTAAGGGCTCTGTGATGAGCTGCATAGTCATTGACGGAAAAGTTGTCATCTAAGTGCAAGTGTGTTCTAAGTTTGAAAGTAGTGTAGTAATAATGATGACAAGGAGAAATTCTATCTGATAGTTCTGTAAATAATTTTATAAATACTGTAATTTTATCCTTGGCCAATCGTATGGGGTGTGGTTTTCAGATCACTGGACTAAGAAACTGAAAAGATTAAGTGACTTGCAGAAGATCTCACAATAACAAGAGAAGAAGATAGGACTGTAACTGCAGGAGTCTTACGTTTGACTCTTGATCAAGCGCCCTTTGGAACGTGGGTCAAGGATCCAGAGAGTAAGGTTGCTGATATGCAATGTCCCGGAGGTGGGGGGCAGAGGGAGACTTTGATTAGTGGTCTAAAGGGTTCAGGAAATTAAAAGGAATGGAAGAGTGGCAGTGAGCAGCTACAAATGGCCTTCACTCTGGATCTTGCTGCCAGGATGAAGTAGGACCTTTATCTTTCCTTTTATTATAGCCTCACAAGTAGTATTGCCAAATTTGGTAAATAAAAATACAGAATACCCAGTCAAAGTTGAATTTCAGATAAACAAAAAATACATTTTTAGTATAAGAATGACCCAAGCAGTATTTAAGACATACTTAAACTAAAAAATTAGTCATTGTCTACCTGAAGTTCAAGTTTAACTGAGTATCCTGTATTGTGTCTGCCATCCTCACCATAAGTTTTGACTTAAGAAGTCCCAACTTGTAGACAACACACCCCATGACTCTGAATGAAGGAGATGTAACTAGATTTTTGTGTGGAGACTGTCAAGTTACATTAGAACCTTGCATCTATAGTATATTGTAAAATAGAAACTTTTAGTAAAAAAGTATGGCTTTCAATGTTCAAATTTCAAAATATTTATTGTTTGCTATGTCACAACAGAAGATTTAATAGAAGCACCAATCTAGGACCAATAACCAAAATCAATATACTAATCACCAAATATTCGTTCATTCAGTTCTTGATTCTTTCATTCAACAAGTGTTTTTTGAGCCCATTCTTATCTACATAGCACGGGCTGAATTAAGGTGAAAATGGACACGATCCTCACGTAAAGTGCAGGGCAACCACAGAGCCCAGAAGAATCACTCTGTGTTCAACACGGGAAGAGGAAGGAAAGATACTACAGATCTGTGGTATGCCAACTGTGCAGGTACTAAGCTGGCGCTCTCATCACGTGCCTTAGTCCTCATTCACATCTGTGATGGTATTACAGTCTTATAGGAGAGAAAACAGATGCTCAGAGAAATTAAACGACTCACCTAAAATCACACATCTAGAAAGTGGCTGAGCTAGGGTTTGAACCTAAATTTTTTCAACTCCACAGAGCATGTTATTTACATGATATAATACTACCTTCAAGAAATTGTTCCCTGAAGACATTTACCAGGTGCAAAGCAGCAATTCCTTGCATGAAAAGTGAGTTCCCTTTATCTGTGTTCCTATATGCCTACTTGCACAACAATTTGATTTTACTGATTTTTAAAATTTTAATATGACGCTAAATACTAGCTTTTCAATAAGCAAGGAGTCCTGGATTGGCGTCTGTAAAAATCGGATCCTTTGCCCAGCCCTCGGACTGTAGGGCCATATATTAAGAGGTATTAGAGTTTGGTGGATCATATGTTTTGGTGTCCTACACACCTGAGTTTGATTCCTGTCTTCAACAAAGAATTAGCCACAAATTAGTAACCTTGCACATAATACTTAACCTCTCTCTCAGTTTCCTTGTTGTGTTAGTGTCAGGATTGAAAGGTATTTTGTATATCTTTCATATATATCATATATATGTATGTGTATATATATATATATGCACATACATATATATACACATTCTATATCAGATATATACCACTTATGGCAGCACCAGGCTCAAGGTAAGTCCACAACAAATGCTTGCTGTATTATTACTACTTTTATTAATAACAGCAATGGCAACATGGCAGCGTGAGTTATTTCCTTTGTCTTTCCCCCTTTTGAACTACAACTAAATGGACACTCACTGACCAACGGAGGAAGCCCACACAGCACAAGAGGACACTTGCGAAAAACACACAACTATACAACTGAGGGTGGATGGATTGGCCCCCCGCGCCACCCCCACCCCCACCTAAAAGTGGTGGAGATAGGTGAGCACACCCTGCTCTCCCCCGGTAGCCCTGTGCACGCACACACTTTCCAATCTGGTGCAAACGCCGCGAAAGTGGGAATACTCAGTGGCGCGACCATAAGAGGAGGCGGCGGTAACCCTTTGCCGGCGTTCATGGTCGCTCTCCCGTGGAGAAACGGAGCCCACCGCGCCCCTGTGCCATAAAGGAGCAGCCGTAGGCCGGGTCTCAGCAAGGAAGCCCAGTCAGCCAAGCTCAGCGGCCCACGGACTGCGGATCGTAAACAGGGACCTCAGCAGATTTCCGCGCTGGGGCAAACACCTCCCAGGTGCGCGCAAACACTCACAGTGCAGCTGCACTCCCAAAGAGGGAACTTGTCCGGGCGGCTCCGGGAATAGGCAATGCAGTTTTGAACCCACACGTGCTTACATTCCTGGCAGGGAGGGGGAGCCCACCATGCCCTAGGGCCGGCAAGGAGCAGCCAGAACCCGGGTCCCAGCAGGGAAGCCCCGACAGCCAAGCTCAGTGTCCCCGCAGACTGGATCGTAAACAGGGACCTCAGCAGATTTCTGCGTTGGGGAAACACTTCCCAGGCACGCACTCACAGTGCAGCTGCACTCCCAAAGAGGGAACGTGTGCAGGGCGGCTGCAGGAATAGGTGTGGTAGATTTCAGTGACTGGTGATCTCTTTCTGGTGGGGAGCGGGAGCTCAGAGCACCCCTGAGGCACCAAAGAGTGGCCCTAGCCTAGGGAGAAAGCCCTGCCTGACAAGGACAGTCCACACAAGTGCCTGAACGCACCCCAGGCTGGGGCAAGCACCCATAATACCCCCACAGCTTCCAGCAGATGGGGTGGGGCCAGAAACACTGCTCCTGCTCCCGCCTAGCGGTAACAGGCGGAATCTGCATCCTAAGAATACCACAAATGCCCCACAAAAGATAGTTCATCAAACACCACGAGAAACTGCAGCAACAATTCAGACCAGAAGGAAAATGACAATTCTCCCAAAACCAACACTGAAAACACAGAAATATACAGCCTAAATGACAGAGAATGCAAAATAGCTTTCATGAGGAAACTCAATGACTTACAAGAAAACATGGAAAGATAATGCAAGGAGCTCAGCAATAAGATGAATCTTTTCACCAAAGAGATTGAAACTGTAAAAAAAAAGATCAAGTAGAAATTCTGGATGTGAAAAACACAATTAGTGAAATAAATAATAATCTAGAAACATTAGGAAATAGAATTGATCTTATGGAGGAAAGAATTAGTCTTCTTGAGGATAAAAATGTAGAAATTCTACAGAGATTTCTCCAAAGAAGATATACGGTTGGCCAACAGGCATATGAAAAGAAGATATACGGATGGCCAACAGGCATATGAAAAGACGCTCAACATCATTAGCTATCAGGGAAATGCAAATCAAAACTACAATGAGGTATCACCTCACTCCGGTCAGAATGGCTATAATTAACAAGACAGGAAACAACAAATGTTGGAGAGGGTGTGGAGAGAAGGGAACCCTTGTTCACTGCTGGTGGGAGTGCAAACTGGTGCAACCACTATGGAAAGCAGCATGGAGTATCCTCATAAAATTAAGGACAGATCTACCATATGATCCAGCTATCCCACTGCTGGGTATTTATCCAAAGAACTTGAAAACACAAAGACATAAAGATACTTGCACCCCTTGTTCATTGCAGCATTATACACAATGACCAAGACTTGGAAACAACCTAGGTGCCCATCAAGGGACAAATGGCTAAAGAAGATGTGGTATTTATACACGATGGACTACTACTCAGCCATAAGAAATGATGAAATCCGGTCATTTGTGACAACATGGATGGACCTCGAGGGTATTATGCTGAGTGAAATAAGTCAGAGGGAGAAAGTCAAATACCATATGATCTCACTCATAAGTAGAAGATAAAAACAATGACAAACAAACACATAGCATTGGAGATTGGATTGGTGGTTACCATAGGGGAAGGGGTGATTCCAAAAGAGGTGATTAAGCTCACATGTGAGGGGATGGACTATAATTAGTTTTCAGGTGGTGAACATGATGTAATCTACACAGAATCTGAAATATATTCAACAGCCCACTTACTTCAGTGGACAGATTATCCAGACAAAAAGTCAACAAGGAAATAGTAGATTTAAATGAAACACTTGACCAGATGGACTTAATAGACATATATATATATAGTACTCCATCCAAAAATAGCAGAATATACATTCTTCTCAAGTGTCCATGGAACATTCTCAAAGATAGACCATATGCTGGGTAACAAGGCAAGCCTCAGTAAATTCAAGAGGATTGAAACCATCCCAACCATCTTTTCTGACCACAATGCTATGAAGCTAGAAATCAACCACAAGAACAAAACTGGGAAAGTCAGAAATATGTGGAGACTAAAGAACATGCTATTGAACAACGATTGGATCATTGAAGAAATCAAAAAGGAAATTTAAAAAATCCCTGGAGACAAACAAAAAGGAAAATACAATGTACTAAACTCTTATGGGATGCAGCAGAAGCAGTTATAAAAGGGAAATTCATAGCAATACAGGCCCACCTGAGCAAGCAAGAAAAATCTCAAATAAGTAATCTTAAAATGCACCTAACAGAGCTAGAAAAGAAGAACAGACAAAGCTCAAAGTCAGCAGAAGGAGGGAAATAATAAAAATCAGAGCAGAAATAAATGAAATAGAGACTAAAAAAGCAGTGAAAAGAATCAATGAAGCTAAGAGCTGGTTCTTTAAGAAGATAAACAAAATTGACAAACCTTTAGCCAGACTCACCAATAAAAAAAGAGAGAAGCCTCAAATAAATAAAATTAGAAATGAAAAGGGAGAAATTACACAGATACCACAGAAATACAAAGGATTAGAAGAGAATACTATGAAAAACTATATACCCACAAATTTGATAACCTAGAAGAAATGGATGAATTCCTAGACTCATACAGCCTCCCAAAACAGAATCAAGAAGAAACAGAGACTCTGAACAGACCAATCACAAGTACAGAGATTGAAACAGTAATCAAAAACCTCCCAAATAGCAAAAGTCCAGGACTAGATGGCTTCTCTGGAGAATTCTACCAAACATTCAAAGATTTGGTACTTATGCTTCTCAAACTATTCCAAAAAATTGAAGAAGATGGAACACTTCCTAACACATTCTGTGAGGCCAACATCACCCTGATACCAAAACCAGACAAGGACAACATGAAGAAGGGAAACTATAGGCCAATATCACTGATGAACTTAGATGCAAAAATCCTCAACAAAATATTGGCAAACCGAATACAGCAATATATTAAAAGAATCATACACCATGATCAAGTGAGATTCATTCCAGGGACGTAGGGATGGTTCAACATGCACAAGTCAATCAATGCGATACACCACATTAACAAAATAAGGAATAAAAATCACATGGTCATCTCAATGGATGCAGAGAAAGCATTTGACAAGATCCAGCATCCATTTATTATAAAAACTCTCAATAAAATGGATATTGAAGGAAAGTACCTCAACACAATAAAGGCCATATATGACAAACCCACAGCCGACATCATACTCAATGGCGAAAAACTGAAAGCCATCCCTCCGAGAACAGGAACAAGAGGAGGATGCCAACTCTTGCCACTCCTATTCAACATAGTACTGGAGGTATTGGCCATAATAATTAGGCAAGAAAAAGAAATAAGAGGAATCCAAATTGGAAAGGAAGAAGTGAAACTTTTGCTATTTGCAGATGATATGATTCTATATATAAAAAACCCTAAAGAATCCACCAGAAAACTACTAGAAATAATCAACAACTACAACAAAGTTGCATGGTACAAAATAAATTTTAAAAAATCAGTTGCATTTCTATACACTAACAATGAACTAGAAGAAAAAGAAATCAAGAATATAATCCTATGGACCATTGCAACAAAAAGAATACAATACCTAGGAATAAACTTAACCAAAGAGACGAAAGACGTGTGGACTGAGAACTATAAGTCACTACTGAAAGAAACTGAGGGAGACATAAAGAAATGGAAAGATGTTCCATGTTCATGTGTCGAAAGAATAAACATAATCAAAATATCCATATTACCTAAAGCAATCTACAGACTCAGTGAAATCCCAATCAGAATCCCAACGACCTTCCTCACAGAAACAGAACAAAGAATCCGAAAATTTAAGTGGAACAACAAAAGACCCCGAATAGCCAAAGCAATCCTGAGAAAAAAGATCAAAGCTGGAGGTATCACAATCCCAGACTTCAAAATAGACGACAAAGCTATAGTAATTAAAACAGCATGGTACTGGCACAAAAACAGGCAAACAGATCAATGGATCAGAATTGAAAGCCCAGAAATAAAACCACACATCTATGGACAGCTAATCTTCGACAAGGGAGACAAGAACATATGATGGAGAAAGGAAAGTCTCTTCAATAAACGGTGTTGGAAAAACTGGACAGCTATGTGCAAAAGAATGAAAGTAGACCATTATCGTGCCCCATACACAAAAATTAACTTCAAATGGTTTAAAGATTTGAATGTAAGAACTGAAACCATAAAAATCCTAGAAGAAAATATAGGCAGTACACTCCTTGATGTTGGTCTTAGCCACATCTTTTGAATACCATGTCTACTCAGGTAAGGGAAACAAAAGAAAAAGTTAACAAATGAGACTACATCAGACTAAAAAGCTTCTACAAAGCAAAGGAAACCATCAACAAAATGAAAAGACAACCCACCAACTGGGATAAAATATTTGCAAATCATTTATCAGACAAGGGGTTGATATCCAAAGTATATAAAGAACTCACACAACTCAACAACAACAACAACAACAACAACAACCTGATCAAAAAATGGGCAAAGGATGAGAACAGATATTTTTCAAAGGAAGATATACAGATGGCCAAAAGGCACATGAAAAGATGCTCAACATCACTAATCTTTAGAGAAATGCAAATCAAAACTACAGTGAGATATCACCTTACACCACTCAGAATGGCTGTAATTACCAAGACCAAAAACAACAAATGTTGGAGAGGATGTGGAGAAAAGGGAAGCCTCTTACACTGCTGGTGGGAATGCAAACTGGTGCAGCCACTATGGAAAACAGTATGGAGAGTCCTCAAAAAACTAAAAGTAGAAATACCATATGACCCAGCTATCCCACTACTGGATATCTACCCAAACAACTTGAAATCAACAATCCAGAGTAACATATGTACCTTTATGTTCATTCCAGCACTATTCACAATAGCCAAGACTTGG